TCTCTCAAAACTTAACGATTTTTCGAGCTATTTGAACCAAAACGTTCATAAGCCAGAGCTCTACAATTTATATGCCAAGAGTTTTGGCTTATTAGTTGAAGAAATCAGACAAATCGCGAGTTTTAGGCTGATGGGTCGTTTTCTCAAACAGTTATGTACTATTGGCAAAACAGGTCTCTCATCTTTGAAAAAAATGACATTTGCTCCCCAGAACTTTCCGACATTTACCATCAGCCCCCTGATTTCACTATTTTTAATAAGATTTACACTTTTTACTCCTAAATCAACATTTTATTTCGATTTTGGTCATTTTTAAATTTTAAGATTTCGATAATTATTTATTCAACTAACCATATAAATATTTTAACACTTCAAATAAATTTAATAAATAAAAATTATATATTTAAAGACTCGTACAATATATATATATATATATATATATATATTATATTTTTAAAATTTTGGGTTTTACACAAATGAACATTTACTAGTACTAAATACGAATTCTATCTCTCTCAACCAAGCACATAGCCTTCACACGGTCTCTTTCTTCAGAGAACGTTGAGGGTTTACAGGTTAAAAACATTTTGATATCTCCCACTCTAATGTTTGTACATTGAATATGTGGATTTATTTCGACTCTTTTCGTTTATACCGTGGTCGATACTTCTAGAATAGATATCAAGGTATTTCTCAGCTTGCTTATTTCCTCTGCTAACATGTCCCAAGTAACATACTTAGGATGTTGTATTGGTTCTTGATTTACATTTTCCTTAATCGGTTCACCCTGGTCTGGATGAACTTCAGGTTGACTGTTCCTTCCTCTCCCACGACCTATTCCACAACCTCTACCCCGACCTCTCCCTCCACCTCTACCTGCTGGTAGATTTGTAGGAATTTTTCAAGTGAACTATCCCTTTCATCCGGGTTGATAAGGGCGATCCTTTCATATCTTCGAGAATGACTTGTCATCTCTAAGTTTTCACAATTTAATATTCACATAATCACATTCTCAAATATAATAAGGTATCCAAGTATAAATATGTACATGTAAATTCATAATTATATTGGCCTATTGTAATTAAAATTTACCTTACATATCGTTCTCTTAACCAGTCATATTTATTCCAAAGGTTCTACATATATCAGGGACTCTTAATATGTAAATAACATAGTTTAAGTCTAGACATCATGTTGGATAACTAAATTCCTTAAACTCGGGCTCTGATACCAAACTTGTAACACCCCAAGATCACATTTGCATATAAACATATATTTCCATATATCATGAAATATAATTTACACAACTAGTCCCACTAATTACAAAAGCTACATTACAAAGTAATTTTTCCAAAACATCTTTATACAACACTTGAATACATAACAAGTATTCGGATACAAAAGAAGAATATGTTATCCCAAAATCCCTTGCATATATATATAAATATATATATAAATATATATATATATATATATATATATATATATATAATACTTCACAATTCGGATGCATAATGCCCTCAAGGTTAATGGGGGAACTAGATGGTCGTTAGAGCATGCGACCAATTTGTTATAAAACGACATTCAACAAGTCCTAATATGCAATAGATGAAGTTTATAGACCATTTTAGTAAAAACCACCAAATCACAAGGACCAAATATGTATTTACTCTTAATTTAGTAAACAAAAATAGCTAAAAGTGGGAGTAGCAAAAAATATCGATAAATATTTACATTAAAAATGCGTTTGGCTTATATCTTAGGTGGTAACAGGGCAAGATGACTTTGTCGAAATACAAGACAAGTCCCGGATTCAAAGTCGTCCTTGAGGGAGGGCGGGTCGAGTGCACAGCTGGGGCCCACAAGAAATAAGGGCACCAATTTTTAGTACGTAGTAGTAGTTTTAAATAATTAGTTTTCAAATATGTTAAAAATATATATAAATTAACAAATTAATATTAATATAAAAAAGTGAAAAATAATAAATTATATTTGTACTCTTTAAAATTTTATAATATATATAAATATATTAAATTTATATATTATATAATAATCTATAAATAAAATTACATTTTACAAAAAAAAAATAGAAAGTAAGGTTTTTATAAGAAATTCTATTGTAGATTTCTATTGAGATTCCTACTTTGTTGAGGTGACAATGATGTGGCGATAGAAAAATACGGCAAACGATGTTCTTAAAGGTTCCACCATTGTGGATGCTCTAAGGGCCCACAAATATATTACATTGGAGAAGAAAATATTTAATAAGTTAATTGCTCGTTCAATTTATAGTATAACTTAATGTTTCTCTAAGTTTTTTTATCTAGCACTAAAAGTTTAAAAGTACTTGTCTAAAAACCTTAATATATTCTCCATCATTCATCTCACCAACTCTTTTAACTATTGCATTCATATGAGTTCTATTTTTGTAAGCGTGTTGCTATATAAAGCATTAACATGACGTGACATGGAAACCCAACTAATTTATACTGATTTACATAGAAGTGTTACTCCAAATAGTTAAAATTGTGATCTTAAATGATGTCAATCTATATATTAAAGGTATATCATAGAATGTTTTTACGGTGGAACAAATTGGCAATGCTATGTGAAAATGATATAGTAGATAATATTAGTTTAGAAATAATTATTGATTGATTTTGCGTCCAGTAATACTAGGAAAAATGGTTTTATATGAATTAGTAATTCTTGAATTCACTTATTTTTTATGATAGATACAAAATATTGAAAAAAATTGTAATTATCAAGGACCCGTTTTTAGATCTCTCCCAGGGCCTATAAAATATTAGGAGCGGGTCTGCCCGAGTTTGATCCCGGATCCCTCGGTAGTCTCAGCCACTGAGTGAGACAAAAATGCTGCTTAATATTGGTATTCTTGGAGGATGGGTTCCGTGTGAGGACGGTTAGAATTACCCGTAACCATTTTTTTGCCAAATATTTTTTAAAATCATATCGTTTTATTTATGTTATTTGCATTTATAATTATAATATATACAAGAGTCGAGATATAAAAAGCATGAGACCTGTATTAGTTGGTCCAGCCCATGAGGCTTTTCCAAACGGGCTCATATTTCTGGGCCTTTAAACATAGGTTTATTTGCAGGCCTATTATATTTCGTTTGTTTTTTTAATGTCACTGGGCCAATATAATATTTTAAAAAATTGGTGTAATTGAGCCCTATCTTACAGCTATTTACTAAGGGATGTATGGCTTAATTAGGTTTATTAGTCTATCTGGCTTATTCACACAGTTCATTTGAGTTGTTTACTTACAGCTTATTCACACAAAACATGACTTAATCGTACAAATAGAAATGGTGTGTTGTCCCCGTTCGGCCACAAAAATGACATCTCTACTACCCCTTATTTAGAACACTGCCTCCTTCCCAAATAAGACACCCTATCATCAGCCTCTTTATGACTTTTTATTTTGATATTCAAATAATTTATATATTGGGGGGTAAATCGGTCATTTATGTTATTTAGACTGTTGGTTCAGAAAAAAAAAGATAAATAACAACACCCATTTATCCAGACAGACAAATTTATCCATACATGACTTAATAAAAAATTTGTTAAACAGCCCCTAAGTGCTTACCGAATAAGTGTTTATCAGTAATAGTCGTCATCCTTACTTATTTTATTGGGTAACATTCTCGGTCAAAATGAATTGCTGGTAAATATCTTTTGACCAGTAAGTGTTTACCGGGTAAGAGTCTTTCCCTCGTTTATCAGGTGAGATTTTCGTAAGTGATACTCGATAAGCATTTAATAAACATTACGTTTTTTTTACTGGATATGGGAAAAAATATGTTGATTTAGATTCAGCTTGGTTCCACTTGAAGCTCGAGTCTTGTTTAGTTTGTATAAGCATCGGTTTTTTTATGATCTTGTATAATTTTATATCATGTAGGGTTCTGAGTTATATTCCATTGAGTTCATCTAAAATTACAAGCACAAATTTTGAAAGAAGTTTTTTTTGAAAAGCATTGCACTTGTGAGTTGTTACAGAGTGAAAACAAAATTACATTAGATATTTTGGTTCAAGATAAGTATACTAAAGCGGATATGTATGTGTGTTAACTGTCAAACACCATTTGCGTATCTCGTTTTTTGTAAAACTTGAACCCTTGACTTTAGGTCATTGGGGTTCTAACGTTAAATATGATAATATGTTAATAAAACTGGTGAACGACCTCTATATCTGCTTTGTTTACAAGATTAACTATGAATCTACAAGTTCTTGAGATATGATTGACATGTATAATTGAAGTAAACGATTCTCCTCTCTGTTTGGTAAGAATCTCCCTCATAAGTCTATCCCGAGTGTGTTATGATATGCTATAATGTCTCTCGTTCCTCTTATATATTTGTGGCTCTCAATTCTTAGACCCACACAACAATGATATCTTTAATTCAAACGTACTTCTAATTTTTTATAAGGTTTAAAGCCTCGAACTTCAATCAGGTTGAGTTCTACAATTAACTGGGTATCACTGAGCCATTGACCCAACGACAATTTAGCATTGTTACTTGCTATGAATCCTAGTAGGTTTGGTTCATTGTTCTAAAGCATTGTTGCTTGTAGCACATATGAATACCCCATATACGTTTACACAAGGATTTAATCTACTGAGATTGCGTTCATGACTTGAACCGTTTGTGAAATATGTGGTTTACACGGAAAAAGAAAAAAACAAATTTCCGCAACCAACATTGGTGTATGTTGAGTAAAGGTTTGGAACTACTCTAGTTTTTTTACATTTCCTTTTAGGAACTTAGAAGCCAGTTTTCATCATGTTTGAAATTTTAATATTTACAAGTGTTGTTTCATATGTGAAATGTCTGGTACAGTTTTTTTTTTCACATAAAAAATTCAGTTCTAAACCTTTCTAAATCGAAGCACTCAATGTTCATAAATGTTGTTTCATATGTAAAACAACTCATAAAAACTGATTTGTAAATAACCATGCGTCTATACATGAACTTTCTTACCAAACTCCAAATTAAAACACCACTTTGCACTTGAGACATACTAAAACCGAAAACCCAGATTACATAAAACCATCACGAAACATTAAAAACGTTCATAATGAAGCCAATATGTGTATAGAGCTGTAAGCTTCAAGAATACACATTGTTGCAGTACATATTTACACATTTGGGGGGTATTATAATTTTCAAGTATTCGTGGAAACCACCGCGGAAACCATGGTATCCATCCCACATGAATTGTAACCGCTGCAAATCTTGTAGTATCCATCCTCACCCCAGTTTGCTCCCCAAGAGTTCTTGATGATCCAGTATGCCTTGTCCTTGAATCTGCTAGGTGAATAATCAGCTGCACCGTACCCGACCAGAAGAACGCCATGATCCAACCGCTTTTTTGAACAAATATACGGGCACGAAACTTTACCAACATATGTTTGCATCCAAGCAGCATTGATTGCAACTGCACATTGGATAAGAATTTTGGTTAGACCATATGTTCTTTTGAAAACCAACTGTTTCATCTATTATTCATGATGAATAAATCTGAATATCATACAACTTCATCATGAATATTCCTATATTTTCATAAAAGATATCCATCACAAAATTCATTGAATAATTGGTTCCTGTCATTTGGATCTGCCCTGGTGATTATTCTAAATGAACCCACTCTCGATATGCTATTAGAACCCCAGCCAGTAATATCCACCCACATGGATCAACATAAAGAAGTCCATTTATGTTTCCAAAGATCAAATTTGACTCAAAGGGGTTCAAATAGCAACACTCTTAATGAAAGATGTTATACGATAATGATTAGGTAAGGTATTTACTTGCAAGAGGGCCATTCTTGACCAGGTTGGCAGCGATTTGGTCTTCATCTGTGCCAACAACACTAAAATTGGAGACAGATGCAGCGATTTTGGTTTTGTCAAAGTGACAAGTACCATCTTTTCCGGTATAGGGGTAATCTGCTTCCTTCTGAATTCCACCAGCATTGAGAATGTACTCGAATGCATTGTTCATCAGCCCACCATTGCAACCGGCATCACATGAATTCTTTTCAGCTGGATCACACTGCAAAAAGCACAGTGTCTCTATTATTTGGAACAGTTCTATTGTTTGCAAAATATCAAGCCAAGATTACTTAATTTTCTACTTCTGATCTTTTACAAATGGCTCTATTTTGTTGCCTATGGTGTATATTGCTGCTATTCCTAGGGGATTAGCAGAGCAGAAGTTCTATCTTTTTACTAAAATTTTGTTTATTTGCTTGTCATAAATAGAACAAGATATAATCAAGAAATAAGTAATCAAACAAGATAATGATACGATAAATCCAAGCACAGAAGTCAAGGAGATGTTACGAACCTCATGATCACAATCCACAAGCTGTTGTTCACTGAGGCTGACCAACTCCCCTGTTTGAAGGAAGTGAGATCCTTCCAAAGCTCCGGTTGCACTAAATGACCAACACGATCCACATGAACCCTTTAACAAAATCCCACAAATTAAATGATCAGAATATCATAACACGATGTAAATAAGGTTAAAAGGGGATGTAATTGATTCTTTATATAAACCAGGGTATTCCAATCGTTTCCATGAACAAATTCAAAGATTTTAAATGTAATTTGTCTTCTGATTTTTGATGTGAATACTCTTATCTAGAGAAGGTGTTGCAATTTTACAATATTTTCATATGAAATTGTGATCAACCAAGACTATTTGATCAATATTTACAAACTAATTAGCCTACAAATAATTGGAAAACAATATATTGCAAGATTAATGTTTATCATCGAACTTCGAATTTGAATCCCTATCACACCGATCTAAAAACAAAAAAAGTCAACCCCTGCATCAAAATAATATATTTTCCTGAAGGTTCTGTAACGATTTCAAAGAGACTAAATAAGACAAACCTGATCTTTAACGCCAGAAACAGCGCCATGATCGCGCCAGTCAAAGTTTTCAGGAAGATCTTTCGTCGGCAGAATAGGAGCCTTGTTAGCATCGGCTGGATATGTGAGAGGATTCTTCAAGCCAAGGTAGGTCTTACGGAACTCCGATGGGGTCAAATCGGAGAACTTGGTAACGCCGTGCTCAGCAGTGGGATCCAGCAACTGGTGGCGTTTAGCACGGCGTAGGTTAGACTTGAAGACGGAGAAACGGTACTCGTGCTCCTCTGGAGTCGCATACTTCCTTCCGAACTTGCTCTTGAAGAGAGTAAAGTGGTGTTCAGCGTTCAATAGATGATCGGCGTTGGTCTCCTCCTCCGAAACGACTTGCCGGATCAAGGGATCGGAAGCGGAGTCATCGACAGCGACGGCGACGGAGGCGGAGATGAGGAGGAAGAGGGAGAAGATAAAGAGGAGGGAGAATCGGGCCATGGTGGGGAGAGATATTTTGTTGTGGGGTTTCTACTCCTCCAGTTATAGTGGTTTCCAAGATCATCACAGGGGGAGATAAGCCATTCAGATCATGACACGTGTCATTAAAATACAATATCTTCCCGATATAATGGTATAAAGTCGGAAGCAACAATACTTAATATCAAGATGGTCCTTAAGAATTGGGTGATTTACACTTCACTCCCCTCTTTTTGGTCATCAAACTTTGTATAAATTCTAAATAGACCCCTTAACTTTAAAACAATGAAATAATGCAGAACCTCCTTTAAAATTGAGAGATTATAAAATAAATTTTTTAGAAAGTTGTTGGATGAAAAATGAAATTTTAGAAAGTTAAGGTTCCAAATTAAAGATTTTTAATAAAACAAAAAAAGGGATAGGATTTTAAATCCTTCTCGAAGTCTTCAAAATTAAAAAAAGAGAGCCAAAAAAGAGACTCTACAATCTCTTAATTTTCTTAGTTTAATTTTAATTTTTTAAACTCTTGTTATTTTCTTGTTTTTTTAAATAAAAAGTTACTCGTACAATACATCGAGGTACATATTGATTTCAATATTTCATTTTATTCTTTATTTATGTTGATATAATACGGTTTTATGTGGTTTTGAGAAAACGATAATGTTTTATTTTTTTTAATAAGATATAAATTTGAAAATATCTAAAAATTTGAAAATATATATATATATATATATATATATA